CCCTTAGCTGCCTTGCCTGGACCACCTCCTTCATGCCTCCCTGGGGGCTTTGGGGCAATCACATCTCCCTGCAGAGGGCTTCAGCCCAGGCATGTTGCTGCAGCTGCCACCCCGTTGCAGTTTGATTTCAGAGGGCAAATCCAGCTCTTCAGCTTCCGATGAGTTAGAAAAGCTTGTGCTTTTCTATGGGTCAAGGTCAGGTTGGATGGGGCTTTGAGCTACCTGATCTAGTGGAAGATGTCCCTGCCCATGGCAGGGGGTTTGGACTAGATGACCTTTAAAGGTCCCTTCCAACCCAAAGCACCCTATGAACTAAGGCTGCCTGAAGTCCATCTTCCTTCCTTCTGACATCCATTGCTTGCAAGGGCCTGGTTGTGCTCTAATAAGCCTTATCTATGTAACACAGGAAGACTGTGAATGTCAGCTCTGAGGAGGCTTTCAGCTGGTCCCTGCTTCTGCTCACTGCTTGCAGAGTGTATTTAGTCACAGCTCATTTATTCAGAGATCAGAAATGTGGCTGTTTGCTTTATTGTCAAATATGGGGCTGCACGAGCCATGGTGCATGAGGAGATGCACGTGCCCTGGTGCATGGGGGATGCAAAGACCTGGGTGCATGGGGAATGCGGGTGCCCTGGGGCATGGGGGAGCACGTGCCCAGTGCATGGGGGATACAGGAGCCCCAGGGCATAAGGATTGCACGTGCCCAGGTGCACGGGGGGAACACGCACCCCAGTGCATTGGGGGGTTAATCCCATGCCCCGTTTCCCCGAGCAGCACCTGCAGCACTACCCGGCACCACCACGCCGCGGGGGGGCGGGGGGGGGGCCGGCCCGGAGGCCAGCCGCACCCGCCAGCGGGCAAAGTGCAGGGCAAAGTGCAGGGCAAAGGCTGGGCAGCCCCGCGGAAGGCAGCCATGGAGCGGTATGTCCCTGACCGGCCCCAGCGGGCAGCGCCAAAAAGCACGGGGGACAGGCAGTGTGGGCAGGGGTTTGCGCTGGGGGTCAGGAAGGAGCTGTGGGCGCGGGCCTGAGCTGCGGGTGCAGGGACAGGGTGCAGGCAGGGACTGCGGGCATAGGCAGGAGCTATGGATGCAGGGTGCGGGCAGGCATTGTGGGCACAGGTGGGCACTGTGAGCGCAGGGTGCAGGCAGGCGCTCAGTGCAGGCAGATACAGGCAGGCACCCTGGGCACTGGCAGATGCAGGCAGGAGCTGCGGGTGCAGGGTGCAGGCGGGCGCTCAGCATAAAGGCAGATGCAGGC